TAGAGGAGTTGTTGTTTTGGTGTGGGCTGCTCTGGGTGAGTTGGTGGTGGGAAATCGGTGAACGGGGGGAGGGGGGAGGGAGGCAGCCTTCCGGCGTCAAAGCTTGGGTGGCACCGTGGCAGTCTGGCAGATCGGTGGTTGGGGGGTGTTTGGCTGGGTTTGTTTTGATTTTTTTTCTTAATTTTTTTTTTATTTTAATTTTTTTTAACCTATAGAATGTTGATACGTGGCAAATGACTTGCTATTACAGGTTTGGTAACCTGTAAGGCCTGATAAAAGTCAATACCCCCTAAAGTTGGGATTATTCAAGAATAATTGATAGTTGGGATTAATAAAAGTAAATGGCGTAAAGTTGGGATTAATAATTACAATTTTTCCTAAATAATATTCCAGGGTAAAACATAATAATCAATCATCAATGCATAAATTAATCAGATCATAAAGGCTTTCGCTACGTATTACAATCACACAATTAATTTACCGGTAGTAAATCTCATCTCTCAAATCTCGACTTAACCATTTATAAATTAACTTGCCTATTGAAACTAGACCTAAACATCAATTCTCATCTCTCGAATCTCGAATCAATATTGTCAAACTCATGCATAAAAGATCAGGCCTAATCTAGTCACAGAGCATTAAATCAATCAATAGGAAATTAATCTAGCATTGATAATCAACAACAATAAATTACCCCTTCATATTATTTACGGATCCCCATAAACCCTAGAAATAAAACTACTCACACATAATTAAATCTAAACTAATCAAAGCAATAGAATAAAACATGATGAAAGAATTAAAATAAATAACTGAGATTAAAGTAGAAGAAATCGTTACCAAAATAATCTGGAATTAAGAGTAGACTTAAGAACAAAGTATTAGAGAGAGAAACTAATCTAAAAGCTAAGTGGAGAGAGAAAATCTAAGAGAAGAATTAAGAAAGAGTAAAAGAAGATACTAAACTTGCTTAACGGATAAGTATTTATATTAAGCAAGAATCCTCAACTAAAACAAACTTAAACGACGCTAATCGTCTCCTAAAGCTGACATGCGCCCGATTGGGTGAGGCACAGCCCGATCGGGCGCGCCTTTTTAATCTCAGGTATGTCTCTCGCGCCCGATCGGGCGCGAGATCAGGTGCCAGCTTTGCTTCCCCTGCTCGGCCGGGCGCGCCTTCGGGCGGGAGCTCCTTTGGCCAGGCGGCACTCTTGGGCCACTCTTTGGACTTCGATTGGGCTCCAATTCTTTGGGCCAATCCGGATTTCCTCTTCGGGTCTTGAATACTCGGTCCAAATGCCCCGATATCACATATACCGAGCCCTTAATCACCGGTTCGATGGCTCTAACCTACCTTGGGCTATAGAAACTGGTCGTGCTTCTCCAATGCTCGTAGTTGCTCCATAATATCTCGGGAAAATGCTCCAAAAGCGCAAATCTCTACAAAAGTCAACCAAATCTACGCAAACACTAAAAAACACCAATTAGTAATAAAAATGGCTCTGAAAAACCAAAGATACTACTAATTATGACCAAGGGACGGGGGTAAATTACTATATAAAATGGACATATCAGTCAACTAAAAAGAAACGAAGGAAGTATATGTATTTTTTTTTAAATAAGTACATGTTATTTTATACATACATCCTGTTTTTTTTTTTTATACATTTTGTTGAAGTATATAAGTAAATAACACACTGTTTTAGCAGAATAATACAAAATTTAAGCAAAATAACATAAGGTTTAGACAAAATAACTTAATTATATTGGGTATGGAGTACCATGATCATGAGTATATAATACCAACTCAGGTAGTCACATGGCTAGGGGTGTTCAAATCCGGGTACCCGGATCTTCGGGTAGTTTGATACTCAGCCCATCTCCCGACCCGAGAAGACCGGGAACCCGAGTTTCGGGTACCCGTTTTTCTCGGGTTGGGTCATAGGGTACCCGGATTTGAGAGACCAATAATTTGCTCAAAATGTGAAAAATGATAAATAATCCAAAATATACTACCCAAACTTCACAGAGCTCACACAATTAGAAGAAGTACAATTAAAAAATACACACAATTAGAAGAAGTTAAGTACAACTAACAATAGATCTTTATTAAAGATTTAATTAAAAAAAATAAAAAACAAAACAAAAATCCAGATTTCGTTAAGCTACTCCCTAACTCCCTTGATTTTACATCATGATATCATCATTCATCAATACCAACCATCAAATATCATCATCCACCATCTTCTTCCCTCTCCTAATTTTTTTCTTCTCTTGCGGTGGGATTCAACTGCAACAGCAAAGGCACCGAGATTCTCGCTGGGTCGATGACGATTCTTGCTGGGTTTTTTTTTTGCGTTTGTGAGCGAAAGAGAAGAGAGAGAAAGAGAAGAGGAGGTGGGTGGCGTACTGCGCGTGAGTTGTGACTGTGAGTGACTGACCAGTGAAGGAGAGAGAGAGGGAGGAGAGGGAGAGAGAGAGGGGGGAGGAGAGTGTGGCGGTTGTACACATAAAACCTAATTGTCTAGCAAATAACAATATATACTCCGTATAACCTTATATTTAACAAAAAAAAATGTTAACGGGTCAGCGGGTACCCGCTTAACACAAAGATCGGCCCATGATCCGACCCGCCAAGCTTCTTTTTACCGGGTCGGGTACCCGGCCCATTAAATTTGGGAAAAACAAAAAAAAATATCCGGTTAAATATATCGGGTCAGTAGGTCAGCGGGTCGGGGCAACCAGGTCAGGTATTTTTGAACACCCCTACACATGGCTACTTCTTCTCTTCCCAGTCATTTCCCATAATATCTAGACCACCAAACTTGCAATAATCAACCTAAAAAGCAAACATAAACCGATTAATCCCCATTCATACACAATAACAAATCACAATATAATATTTAAACTTTTCATGTGGACAACCATAAATAAACATGTTCCCTTTAGCCTTTGTTTTTATTTAAGTGATTAAAGTTCTAACTTGTTTAAACTATTACATATGTATTGCTACAGTTAGGCTCCTCTCAAAATTAAGGATAAACTTACTCTTAAAATAGTAATTTTTACCCCCAAGTGATGTATTAACAAAATGGCAAAAATATATATAAATTGCCATTTTTTTTTGAGAAAAATATTTTTTTGCCTTTTATTTAATTCTAAACTTGTATTTTCTTGTTAATGCGTCATTACTTTTCCTCTTATGCCATAAAATTTCGTCATTTTTTATATTTTTTTTGGAAATTTTGACATTTGTTATCAGGAAAAACACCTTGATTCACATTTGCTACCGTTTTAATTTTTTTTTTTTTTTTACTTTGCTACCACCTAAATCAGAGTTTGTTAGAAATTACTATCCGATACCTTACACCGTAATTATTTCCGTCAGTGTGGCTCAACCACCGTCCAACCACCCCACTGCCACTCCTCCCCCTTGCCCCCTGCTGGTAGCCGACGCCGGCGACCCTACCCCTCTCTTTCCCTCCACCCACGAAGCCACCCCCCTCACCCACCAAAGCTAACTCCACCGAATTCAGCCCCCCTCCCCGTTCCCTCCACCGGAATCTACCCTTCCCCTTTTTGGTCACCCCTAACCCTAAACCACCACCACAAACCCACCATACGCGAAACCCAAAATCCTAAAACCTATTTAGGGTTGTTTTGGGCTGGTGGTTTAGGGTTAGGGGTGTCGGTTTTTGGCTGGGGGAAGGGGAGGGGGTCGCTTGTGGTGGGGAAACGGGGATGGGGTTGATTTCGGTGGGGTTGGCTTCGTGGGTGGGGGAAAGGGTAGGGGGGTTGGCTTTGTGGGTGGGGGAAAGGGCAGGGGGGTTGGCTTTGTGGGTGGGGAAAAAGGAGGGGTCGCCGGCGCCGACTGAAGCTTTTGGCGTCGGTCGCCGGCAGGGGATGAACTGGCAATCTTGACCCAGACTCAATGACCCGACCCAAATGACCCGGAACCAGTGACCCGAAATTGACCAAAAACCCGACCCACACCCGACCCGAAGTGGAACTGACCCGACCTTGACCCGAAACCCGAAATGACCCAACCCGAAACGACCCGACCCGAGATGATCCGACCCAAAATTGACCCGAAACCCGAAACGATCCGACCCGAAGTTGACCCGAGACCCGAAGTTGACCCAACATTTAACTTCTTTCAGTAAATAATTATATAAGTTATAAAAAGTTTATATTAGGAAATTATACATTAAAATAGACTCAACAACATCTTACATGACTACATTGACTTTCATATAATAGCTAAAAAAGATGGTCAAAGTGAGATGTGTGAATAGTGCAAAATGTCAAATTGTTAAGAGTAATTTGGGACGGAGGAAGTATAAGAATAGTTCAAAGAAATTATTACAACAATGACAATGATAATAAGAGTACATATTAAAACTAAGATCAATAAGAGAGTGAGGTATAACTCAATTAGTTAGAGCATCCCTCTTAGTTTCAGGAGATCCTAAAAGTGATTCTCAGTCTAAAGTTCTAAACACAAAACAAAAAAAAAAGTTAATAAAAGTCAAACAATTACTATAATCCATGAAAAAATAGCCTTAATAAATATAGTGAGTTTTTCGTCAAAAAATAAATAAATATATATACAGAGTTGAATTTACCCCAATGAATCACCCGAATATGACTCGACTAGAAGTTGACCCGAAAATTGACCTGACCCGAATTGACCCGACCCGAAAATTGACTCGACCCAAAGTGTTGACTCGATACCCGACCCGAACCGATTATGAGTCGACCCGAAATCAACCCGAACCCGAAATAATCCGACCCGACCCGACCCGACCCGAACTTGACCCGATAATCTTTTGATCCGAACTTGACCCGACCCGAAATGACCCAACCCATACCTGACCCGAATGACCCATTTGCCAGGTCTAGGCAAGGGTGGCTAGGTTTTTTTTTTTTTTTTTTTTTTTTTTAAAAATTGTTTTTTTTTTTTTTTGAAATTTTTTATTTTTTTTTTAGCTTTTCACATTTTTTTTCTTTATTTCGCTGCACGGCCTACCCCCCTCGCTCTCCTCCATTGAACCGCGTACTAAGAATCCTCCATTTCCATTGAAGCAGCTTCCGAGCTTCTTCTCCACCATTGAAGCAGCTTCTGAGCTCCCCTATACAAAAATCGTCCAATATCAACTTCTCAATCTAGGGTTTGTCGTTAATTTAGTTGTCAGTGTATTCAATTTAGGGTTCTTCTAAGCTGGATTAGTGATGCAATCAAACAAGTACGGTTTGCAAATTAGGGTTCCAAAATCCCAGCAAAAACAGCAGCAAGCGAGACCATTACCCCCCAAACCCCTCGCTTTTAACGACGACGATGATGATGATGTTGAAAAAGAAATTTCCCGTCAAGCTTTTAAGAACAAGTCCCTAAAAGATGTCAGATTTCTCTCTATTTCCCTCAATTTATATATGGGTTTATCGATTTTTTTGAACTTGGAGGTGAAATTAATGGTGTAATTTGTTTGATTTCTGTAGGTTGAGGACCAGTATAAGAAAGCATTAGAGGAAGATCCTTCAGTGTTTGATTATGATGGTGTTTATGATGATATGAAAGCGAAAATTGTTAAGCCAAAAGCCGAGGATAGACAACAGCGTCAGGTATTTGGTCTAACTCGGTTAATTTTGATTTCATTTGCTTGATTTTGAACCTTAATTGATAGTTTCGAACCTTAATTGATAGTATAACAGGATGATGAAATAATTTGTGGGTAGTTAAGTAGCTGGTTATCAGAACTACTACAATCTCACAGTTTATTACTGTTTCTCTTTGGCATTTCTAGCTTGTATATAAATTAAGAAAAATAGAAGGATAAACATTCTTATATGCATTATAGTACAAAACCAGGAAAGATAGTGGTGAAGAAGCTTTAACTTCGATTGCAAACATACAAAATGGTTTAGTTATGAATCAAAAGATATGAAATTAATCTGGTTTCCCCTTTCTGTGGGAGTTAAACAAAACCTTATCCATAACTACATCTTCCCATACTTTTATTAGCATTTGCGATTTGAACTTATTTCAATACTTAGCCATACACAAGTTTGATGTTGCCATGATGGTGAAGCAAATGGACTGAGACAGGCAAATGGACTGAGACAGGCAAATGGGTATGGCAGCAACCAGCCCGAAATTGCGATGAAAAATTGAGTGAGAACTCAAAGGAGGTGAAAAAAATTGTAAGGGTTTTAGGATCTGTTTTTGGGGATGAGATAATTCCCTGGAGTTATGCATTTCTCAGTGACAAAGGTGGTTGTATGGCCATCCATTGGTGGTAATCAATTAGCCGTGAACTCCTGGTAGACTGAAAATAATCAGCAAGAAAGTGGCAGAAGGTTGCAAATATCTCTAAACTTTTGAGATGGAGATGGGTGTTTGATCTTCAAATGAAAAATGCATGGAAATCGAGGAAGTAGTACTAAGTTGCTGACTGCAGAATAATTATGTTTTGTGCTCTGTTGTTGGTACTTATGATGGTGTTTTTTAAAATGACAAAATCATTTATGATGGATTTCACTTTCTCATATGTGTTTTGTGAATTAGGCAAGTGAGCTGCTTCAAAATCGTAAGAGAGTCAGTCCAGAATGACCCCTTAATTGTTGGCAGTGAAGTTATCTGTTTAACTTTTCATCACAACACTGCTGCAATTCCTTTTGATTTATTTGTGCTGTTTCTAGGCTTTTGGTCGAAATATGTTCTTTTAGCAGTAGCAATGTTTGACTTGAAAACGTGACCTTTGAGAATTTTGTTCTCAATGTTTGTTCACTTCCCAGTGTTCCCACAGCTTTTGTTGTTGTTCCCACAGCCTATACCTACACTTTGTAAGAAAACTCTCTTCCCTCTATTGGTTTCTCACCATTTAGTTGTCTCTCTTTTCCAACTAATGCTCGTCTTGTCTTTTCTAATTAACTTCTTGTATGGACATGTTACTTCTAGGTTCTTTGGCAACAGAACTTTCATCTTTGTTGATATTTCTTCTTATGCATTACATATGAATGTCTCAGCCAAAATACATTCAAGCGCTGATGGAAAAGGCCAAAAAAAGAGAAAAAGAACATGAGGTTGTTTATGAAAGGAAGCTTGCAAAAGAAAGAAGCAAAGATGACCACCTTTATGCTGATAAAGACAAGTTTGTTACTGGAGCTTACAAAAGGAAGCTTGCTGAGCAGGCAAAATGGATGGAGGAAGAACGCTTGCGTGAGCTGCGCGAAGAGAAAGATAATGTAAGTTTGTCTCTGCTTTTAGATCCTTTTAGTGTTTTTGTATGGCTTGTATAAACTCAGCTTGATGTATTACTCTCAAAAATGAATATGGTAGCAAGTAGAAGAAGAAGCTTAATGGTATATAGTTAGTTCATATTTACTATCTGATCTACACATGTGACCAAAATGTTTAATGCTTCTTTTGTGCCAAAAAATTTATCACACTTCAAAGAAAAGGACTACATTTTTTTTTATTAAATACCTACTCCCTCTTTAGCTCCACTATGTCATTTTACATCTAGTTCCTCGTTGAAATAACATTACCAATGCTCTGCTACCTCTTATCACACCCGCAAGCTATATCTCTTTGATTTCTTTGCAAAGGCTAGTGTTGCAATAACTTTAATACATAGGGAGTAAGTTTCAGTGTACATAGTAACATAAGCCATTCGCTAAAAATAATACTCCCTCTGTCTCGTTTTGTTGTTCCTGTTTGGGTTATTTATTTATTAATTACTGAGATTAAGAAAATTGTAATATTTTGCTTTGGAAGTTGAAAATTAAAAAATGTATTAATCGAGTATTAGTGAAAATTGATTAATGGAATAATAAAAAGAAAAAGGGAATGAGTATGGGTGGCAATTGCTGAATGGAAAGGGTAATTGAATATAAATGAATGGTGCCCAGGTTTTGTACAAAATGAGGGTAATATTGCGGGTTTTTAAAATTCTGCAGTCCTGAATGTAATCTAGGGACAAAAAGTAAGATGAGAAACATAGATTTAAATCAAAACAAAATTTTGGTACGCATAAAATAAAACAAGAACAAAAAGAAATGGGAGTATAACTTCATATAACTTTTATTTGTCGAAGTATAGAAGAAACTAACACAGAATATTAGCTGACTCGTAATAGCTTAGGTTAAAGTGCACTATTTATGGAATTACAATAAACAAGTAACTGCATATAACTTGCTATTGTAAACTATGTTATTATAATACTGAGTAAGGGTGCATTTAATTCACTTTATTTTTGTTTAACTTATTTTTTCTAATCTAATCTTTGTGCACTTTTTTTTCTTTTTCTAATCCAATTGCCTGGTTTTTCTAAATATTGATCTACTATGTACACTTATTCATAAGGAAAAAATGTATCATATTGGGTCTTATAAGATTTGTATTAATGTGTATCTACCAAATATCTAATTTTCATATTTTTTTATTACGAAATTAAAGATGTTCTAGTGGTAGAGTTCGTTTTCTCAAAACCATAAGGTTGTGGGATCAATCCCCACTAAATGCAACATGAGGATGGGAACGGCCTTACCCTTCCGTCCACTCTAAGAGGTCTAGCCTGTTGACTTTGTTATAGGATCCGGTATGGTAGGGCACCTTCTTCTTACCTACCAAAAAAAAAATAAAAATAAAAATAAAAATAAAGAAAGAAAATAAAGAGGTATGTAGTTGGCAATAATTAGTGAAAGAAGGCGGGGTACACCTACTAAGTGTAAACTCAGTAGTGGAAGCAAATTGTTAGCATTAGTCCTCTCCTCAAACTTACATTCAGCCTTGGATGGTGGTCATGCATATGCCTGTGCTACTTGTTGGGATATAATATTAAAATAAAATACTGTGAAGTAGTCAAGGGTCTTTGCTTGTACAACTGTACAGAATGAAATTGACATGAGTAATCTCAACTCAAATGTGACTGCTGTATCTTTCTTTGGATGAAATTGGCCTTAATTCTTTATTTATCTCATCATCAATGAAGAAAGATTATCAGTTAGCTGTTTTGAATATTAGGATAGTAGGATGTTCAATATTATAAGCATTATATATAGCTTGCCTTCTTGATGGTTTCATAGGCCTGTTGTTGATGTGCGGTGTAAGCTTGTTACTTCCTGTCCTTTTAATGGTGTATCAGATTAGTTGCCCTGGATTGAGGTTATCTGTGATTCTTTGCAATTCTTGTTTGCATGCTTCATTCACTTCTTGATTTGGGCTTTAACTAGCTCATGTAGCTTCTTCATTTAATCATCCTTGCCTTTCATCAAAGCAGACCTATTCATTTTAAATTTGTATGAGGGATTGACATCATACATGATGATAAATGAAGAATTTTTAGTTTTATGTTGGCATCCTGTTGTAGGTCAGTTCACATAGCTTGCTAAACAATGAAGCAAACTTTTCTTAGTGTGATTAGTGACATTGGTTGTGTATGATGAGAAGTTCTAAATAACAATTTAGTTCTAATTGTCTTTGTTGAAGCAAGAACACTCTCCATAAAAGTTATGATTTGATAACCCAACTCATACCCGACACTAGATGACCAAATTTAAATTGATCCCACTGCTACTGGATCTGAACCCGTAAATATAACCAAACTCAAACCAAAAGTCTTCTTGCTTGAATATGAGCCAACCTCAATTAAACAATTGATTGACATCGCTAGATGTAATTAGCCAAAATTGAACTTCAGCTTAAGAATAAGATTTCAAATATTGGTAAGCTCATATAATGGGTATAATGGAACATATTATGGCCACTGCTGGTTGAAGCTGTAAAGTTTTTTAAGTAGTTGGTTTGGAACCCTACTACTATTTTTTTTTTCTCACATTAGTTGCATTTTTTAAGTTAACTATTCTTTCATCAGCATAATACTATCAAACCTTTATAATAATGACGGGGTTGTGTTCGTATTTAGGGCGTTCTTGGATTGGGGGTAGTATATTAAGGGTGTGAAAAAAAGTCAAACCTAGAAAAATGAACACGAGGTATTAATAAATGAAAGATGTTAGTGGTGGTATGAGGAAAAGAGAGAGATGGGGGAGTTTAGTACCCTCATAACAGAGTTAATAGTTACCCACTGCCATACTAGGATAATATTACTCTCAAAACGCGGGTTATAAATTTTATAATATAAATTTCCTTGCAATAACACCATTGCTACCTCATTTTCTCACAGCTACCTAAATTCACCTTCATTTTCTTTAGTTTGACTTTTTTACCTTTTAATGCATTACCCTTATCCAAAGCATGCACTTACGCTGAATATAAATCAGCCTATCAACATTAGCCAGAAAATCCAATTTTATTAGAACAAATAAATTTGAAAGAGCATGATTTACCCCTTGTTAATATAAATCAACTATTAAACTTGAGGTAATATGGATTCCGCCATGAGATTCTTCTCTATTCGGTTTGGATTATCTTAAAGTCTTTCCTCTTTTTGATCCTTCTCTACTCCCTTGATGTCGGAACTCAGAAGGTGAACATACAAAGAAAATATTTAATGACGGAAAATAAACGTTCTAATCTGTTGAGCCGTCATGACATAACAGATGAGGGGTAGGGGGAGGATGTGTTGCTCTATAATGGGGTTTGTTTGAAGTGAGAAAGAAGTGATTGTTATCATGTTGTTCTGTATGTTTACATAATTATGCTAATATCAATTGTGCTAGGCTCTGTAATAGTATTAATATTGGCTGCGTTCTGAAATTTGCAGGTGACCAAGAAGAGTGACCTCACAGATTTTTACTTTAATTTAGCCAAAAATGTTGCATTTGGAGCGGAAGAAAAGTCCAAAAAGTCAGGGAGAGGGGACAAGGAGTCAGCAGCTGCCACGGAAGAGCTCAAAAGACCAGAGAAGGAAGCGGACATAAACGAAAGAGCTGTGGGAAATCCATCCACCAGCTCAGCAGTGGTCTCCCCGTCGAGATTGGATGATAGACTTCAAGGAGAAGCAGCTGTTGCTCCTGAGGTTAGACCAGAGCCAGCTGCAAACCTGGCACCTTCTCCTCCTACATCTACAGAAGTAATTCCACCACCTCCCACTGATAAGCCTAAGCAGGACCATCATAAGAAAAGTCAGGAAGCTCTCGCAGCTGCCAAAGAACGTTTCCTGGCAAGGAAAAAAGCAAAGATGGAGTTATAAATTACCCTCTACCCGAATTACCCTCTACCCTGTCCTCCCTAATTTCCCAAGATCAGTAAGCCAGAGTCATATGTGATGTTTCTGGCTTAACATTCAGAAAATCTAATCATATGAAGGGCTATGTATTGTTGATCAATTTGATTACTCTCTCTTTGTAAGAAAAATGAACATTAGGAAGCCCTCGTCACGAGAGGTATTTCTAATGTTTCAGAAGAAAGCAAGTGATCAAACTAGAGTTATTACAAGGATTGTTTTAATTTTTCTAAATGCATTCCGTATATAATTAAAAGTATTTTTCATGTATGTGAGAATCCCTTCCTCAACCAATTAACCCAAATGATCAACATCTTCTGTTTGGAACAAATGTATTTACTGTTATATCTTCTAGAGAAGGTATTTACCTTTTACAGTACCACTGATTTCTAGTTATCCTGACTTCCTGAGGCTTTAAATTTTTAACCAACAACCAAAAGAAAAAAAAAAAGGCTATTTCACGATGGTCTAAAAACTGTTGCTGAAAATAGAATAACCATTGTTAAAAAAAAAAAAACTGCCAACAATGACCTACGGTCGTAATTTGGCCACTTTGTAGTAGACTAGTACTCTAGTAGTATAGGTCCTCTAACATGAAGGGAAACTAGATGTTAAAAATTATAATTTAGGCTCCGATTGTTTTAATGGATACACATTATCTCATAAAATCAATTATCTTATAGAGTATTTTCATGATTTGGTTGATAAAGTATTGAAAACCGTTTTCGTCCAAATTGGTATAAAAATTAGCACTCTTGTGATATACAAGTACGTAGTATTTTGTATACAAGCTATCATATGCAACATACTTTTTTTTTTTTGGACAAAGAGAGTACTAATAGTGAAAAGGGTGATTACAACCTAAACTAAGGAAAGAAAGCAGAATTACACGATAGAACATTGGGGGTTGGACCATATGACTTCTTACGTTTAAGAAACCAAGTGTATTCGTTGGGACATGATGCTATTCGTTTAGAGCCACTTAACCTGCAAAACAAAGAGTTAGTAAAACATGTTGGAGACCTATTTTGCAAAGTGGCATATTTCCTTCTAAACATGGGATGGGAAGATGAGACAAAACCCAACAATATTTCAGAGGAGGAAGTGCTTGGGTGAACAGGAGTCTACAGAGGGGAAGAATCAAGGCGAAACTGGTAGGAGTATCGGCGCAGCTTCACATGATGACTCGTGGCCTGCCATACCTGTGGACGGATCTTCTTGCATCAAATCTGGAGTTGTTTCACACCTATCATGCCCTTTCACAGGGGGGTGACTAAACTCCATTGGTGGAGAAACTTTTTGAGTTCCACCACTATCCATCTTTTTTAAAGGATTGACTACTCGGATGGTAATGAAATTCTTTTGGCGAGAACAAAAGTATTGTACTGTTCACCCCTTGGAAATCGCTCCATATATTGTTGGAGTGAGACACAAATAGGAATCATTTTGCTTTCGGCTTGAGAACCAAAAACTTGACCCTGTCAGATTCGAGTTTTTTGTTTTTAAAGTGCCCATCAAAACACAATTGTTTTAATAACGTTGGGCCTAAGATCTTGGTTGGTAGGGTTGACTTTACCCTCCAAATCCAAAGAATTGCCACTAACGTCCTTTTCCATTTTGGTGTCGTCTTTCACACCTGAACACCTACGAACATGACTATCTTCACGACCATCTACTTCTTTCTTTTTCCCTTTTTTTTCCTAACTTCCTAACATTATCTTCCTTCCCACAACAACATTCGGAGACCAACCCAATAAGGATATCACCTCCTTTAATTTTTGCTGGGACTCACTATTATTGGGATCTATTTTAAGGGCTTGTGCAGGGTCCATGAAATCTAAGGTTGGTTTATTGAGCCCTAACACGGCAATCGCCCTTCTATAGTAAGCTTTCATATTAGTAGTATCAAAACACAAAACCGCTGAACATAATTGACCCACTCTATCACAGTCTTTTACCTTGATGAAGCAAACACCCAAGTTCAAATCAAGGGACACATCAGTGCCCGAAAACATCAATTTATCCTCTTCACTACAGACTGAAGCAAAAGACAACAATTTAAGGGCAAGAGAGTATTTTGCAATAGCAGACCCCATTTGATTTTGCTTGTAGAACATGTTTCCCTCATCATTTAACAAAATTGAGAATTCCAAAAGGATTTTCCAATTTCCCAACTAAAAATTCTAACTCATGAGAAGTGACATCCTTCTCTTCAACATGGGAAATACACAACATACCCCTTAGTTCCTCAAAACTAGCCATAAAGACTGAAACAAAACTAAATCACTAGGCTTCCTTTAATTACACAAAACTAAAACCATACCAGACATACGAGAATCCGGCGACCAAAGGAAAGCAGAAAGCTAAATCACTAGGCTTCCTTTAATTACACAAAACAAAAACCATACCAGACAAACGAGATTCCGGCGACCAAAGGAACCCCAATATTATTTCCACCACCACCGAGAGGAACCCTGTAATCTTCACCAACAAACCCGAAAAAAAAAATTAAAGGGAGATAGACAGAAGGACTGAGCTTGCCGGCGACGGTTGGGCGAGCCGCGCCAGTCGCCGGCGAGCAGAGGCTGGGTAAAAAGGGGGACGGTGGAAGCGGTGAAGGGATAGGGACGAGGGTTAGAGAGAGAAAGAAGAGCAGATATATGCAACATACTTGTATTAGTATAAAAGTTAATAAACGGTGAAAATTTGGTATACAAGTTAGTAAGTGGCGACCTTTAACCCTTTTTCCTTGTCAAAGTGTGTATTGTATCCGTGATTAATTTTGTTTTTGTAACTTTTATCTATCATTTTTCTTATTTTTTCTATGCTTTAAATATTGATTAAATATTTCTAGAACTCCATTAAAAGCAAATAAAAGCCAAATTAAAAAAGTAATTACGGAAAAAAAAGAAGAAATGAAATAAAATAGAGGACAAAAATTTCATAACTATGCAAAAGAATTGTTCAAGAATTGCACGATTAATGGTATGTTCTCATTGACTAAAATAAACTGAATTGAACTGCAGCTGAACTTATTAGACCTGAACTAAACTAAACTGAATATTTTATGAGATAAGGAAATTAAGAATTGAAATGAACTGAACTGATTAGAACTGAACTAAATTCAAGTGAACTAAACTGAAAATCAAATTATTTTCAGTTCAGTTCAATTTAATTCATTTCACCTCTAATAAGTTCAGTTCAGTTCAATTCAGTCCAGTTCTTAATTTTCTTTTCTCATAAAATATTCAGTTCAACTCTAATAAGTTCAGTTCAGTTCAGTTCAGTTCAATCAATGAGAACAGGCCCTAAGCTTTGATAACACATTTTCAGGATCACATTCAGCTTAAAGTTTTTGCAATATTAACTACTAGCCACTATAAAAAAAATAAATTTTGTTCTCAATTTATTACTATTAGGCCCCGTTCTCTTCACCTTAACTTTACTGAACTGAAATTATTTTTACCGAACTGAAATTATTTTTGCTGAACTTAAAATATTTTTACCGAATTTAAATTAATTTTACTGAACTGAAATTATTTTTGCTGAATTGAAATTATTTTTACTGATTTTCTATTATAATTCTTCTTTAAGAAAACTGAATTTTACTGAACTGAACTTATTTTTACTAAACTGAAATTAATTTTACTGAACTGAGATTATTTTACTGAATTGAAATTATTTTTACTTAATATTATTTTTTTAAGGTGAAGAGAACAGGGCCTTACTGCATTCGTCCTTAAATGATATATCCTTTTCTAAATATTATTTAAAAAAAAAAGACAAAGTAGTAAAAGTATACCGAAAAGCTAAAAAGATAATTTCATGATACCTACAAATAGTAAAAAAAAAAAAGTGTACATTTATAATCACCTAAAATGAAATAAAGGCAAATTATTTAGGGATGAAGGGAGTATAATTTTATAACTTGTAAATTAAAAAATTAATTCCAACTAAGTTTAAGACATTAAAGCTTAGGCTTTTTCTTCGTTAATTACAGTTTTCACTTCTAAATAATTCAACATTACTAGAATTTCTAAAAAGTGGTGTACATATGCAAAAAGTCAAAATAGTATGAGTGATTTAAAGCCGGCGAATAATGCAAAACATGGCTAATACAAAAAAGGAAAATTTGTCTGGAATGGACTTATATCTTCACTCTTTTGTCTGGAAGGACCTTATATGTTCAAAGTGGTATAAAAGGTCCTTATAAGTATGTTTTGTTGTCTAGAGGGACCTTGACGCCGGATTCCGGTGTTTGACTTTTTTACTCCAGCGTTGACCAGTCACGTGACTATCACGTGACTTAAAAAAATCACCCTCCCTCTTATTTTTTCCCTTATCCCTCCAAATCACATTCTCTCTCTTCTGTTCCCCAAAATTTTTCCCCAAATTGTTTCTCTCTCCTAACGAAACAAGCTGACTAAATCAAATCCATTGGATTCCCTTAATTTTCGAAGAAATTCAAGCAAGGAGCGTTTGATTAAGTCCTTTTCGCATCAAGTGAGAACAATTCGTACAATATTTTTCCCCAATCCCATTGTTTTAAGCCTAAGTTTAGTTGTTTGAAAAATTAGGGTTTATAACTCAATTGGTTCTAAAATCATGTTTTTTTTGGTTGTTTAAGGATGTTTCGACTAAAAGGAAGTTATCAAAGTGCAATTGTGGTGGCTTGTATGGAAAATGAGAAGATAAGGTTGATTGATGAACATGAGAACTTGAAGAACAAGATGATGAGGAGCAACGAAGGTGTTCATATTGATCAGGATTGAAAATTGGGGATTGATGTTGATTTGTGTGATTTTGTCTATTCTTTGTAGTTTGATTGTGGTGAAGTTATGTGTTTCGTGAGGAGAGAGACAATTTGGGGGAAAATTCTGAGCATATAATGTGAATTGGAGGGAAAAGGTGAAAAAAAGAGGGAGGGTGATTTTTTTAAGTCATGTGATAGTCATAGGTCAAGGCCGGAGTAAAAAAGTCAAACATCGGAATATGACGTCAAGGTCCCTCTAGACAACAAAACACATGTATAAGGTCTTTTTAGACCACTTGGAACATATAAGGTCTTTCTAGACAAAAGAGTGAAGATATAAGTCCCTTCCAGACAAATTTTCCTAAAAAAAAGGTTGTCTACGGAAGAGTGTGGTAACATACGTCATTCTCTAGAAAGATTTGGAAGCAGCATATGGCCATGCAGAACCTTCTAGGCCATGGTTTATGTTACATCACCTACATAATTATATCATATTACTATATATTTATGTAAAATGGAAAAAAATTCCCATATTAAAGGCAGAGTAGGATAAAGAAGTTTATACAATAAATTTAAAAAACATAAAAAAAATTTAAAATTAAATGGGAAAGGGATTACTTGGCGAGCCATTTAGGAGCATAATATGGACTCATCCAATGTATCGTGAATGGTCTGCTTCCACTGCTCTTTTGGACTGGTTTGAATCTCCTAATGCTCATTTCTTCAAAATTAATGTTCCAGGTTTCATTTCTCTTTCTCTTTTATTTTATTTTTTAAGCCTCCTTATTTAATTGTTATTTTAATTTCATGTATAAATAATTAACATTGCCCTTAATTTGTTTTTGTCTTATATTCTTAAAAATATTCATCTTTCGTTTTATTTTAAATTTATACGAAGTAAGCTTTATTCCCTGCTTGGTAAAATTTTACATTTAATTTTGATTAAGAAGAAATTTTCTAATTGATTACTAGTACTTTTTATCAATTGGGTATAATTCTTAGGAGTACTAATTAACTTTGCTAAGTTGCTACTAGTACTCTAGTTTTGCAATTCATTGCAATTGTTTTAGACACATTTAGCGTGTTTCGTGCTACTTTGAGTTGATTTGCTACAAATTTTTTCTACACCTACTAAACAGTTATAATGTTTTATGGGTTGTTTATTGATAAAACATATTTTTTTTTTTATAAAACAAAAACAATCGAGTCTATAAAAGGAATTGTAACAGATAAAGAATGAAGTATTAGAGATTTAATAGTGAAATCGCTCCTACTTTAATCTTTAACTAGCCTTTTGGCCCGTTTAACGAACGGGCTGTAGCTCATTTTATTTTTCTTGAAAATGTGTTGTTTATTTGTGTTGTATGTGTCGGTGATGTTTTGTAATAATTTGCTTAATTTTCTTACCGATAATTGGCAAGTTAGGAATATATATAAGGATTTTAACATTAAATAATTTGTTATTTTAACTTTTACATTAGGATATAGAGGAGTACAACTTTTTTTTATAGTGAAAATGAAACGCTCTATTTTCTTACTCAAATTTGCAAGTTAGGAATCATAGACTTTAGCATTAACATTTTATTTTATCTTTTACTTTGAAAGGGAATATAAAGAGGAAATATTAATGGACATGTTGTGTGGAATGTGGGTAAATTATAATGACATGTGTCATATAGGTAATTCTAGTTTGTCTTTTTAAATACTATGTATAGATATAGATATAGATAATGACATAATGAGGCTGGGCCGATACAAGATGGGAGATGGCTCAGGCCCCAAAATAAAGGGCTCTGAAAATTGGTGTGTTTATATATCTACTTTATTCCTCTTGTAATAAAGAAAATATGAATGGATCAATGATTATATTGGATAACTTATAACATTATTATTATTATTTTTTATTTTTATTATTATTTTATTATTATTATTATTATTATTATTATTATTATTATTATTATTATTATTATTATTATTATTATTATTATTATTATTATTATTATTATTATTATTATTATTATTATTATTATTATTATTATGTTAGACTTAATTTGGGAATTTTTGTTTTATGACATCTACGAAAATGTCATGTTATATGCATTATTTAGTTATTAGTATTTCTTGTCCATATTCCTTACAAAACTATCAAAATACAAGTCTTATACATTGCAATATTGATGTAAGTCCATAATGAGCAGGATACAATAAAGATAACGTAAAATTGGAGGTAGATGAAGATAATGTTCTCCACATAAAAGGGGAAGGAGGAAAAGAGGAGTCGCAGGGCAAAGATATAGTATGGCATGTAGCCGAAAGAGGTGGTAAGGGGAACTTCTACCGGCAAATCGAGCTGCCGGAAAATGGTGAAGTGGATCAGATTAAAGCTCAGGTGGAAAATGGTGTGTTAACTATCGTTGTTCCAAAGGATAATAATCCTAAGCCTTCTAAAGTTCGCACCATCAACATCTCTAGCAAGCTTTGAATGTTAATTGATGTTGTATATGTTTAGCCTTAGCTATAATATTAAGTATAAATTTGTATATCATGTATGATGTATTGTGTGTTGAACTACTAGTTCAAGTCTTCAAATAATAGTTTCAATATCTACATTTAACTATTAATAAACACTGTTCCTTTCTCTCTCCAAAACCTTAGCCTCCATTGTTGGATTTTGAAGGGGTTTCCATCGATTTTAATCGGTGGAAAGCCTCAATTCTTGTTTCTTTATTGTTTTATTTAGGTTTATAATAATGCTCCCTCCTTTTGGGAGGAACTTTTCTCCCTCGAAAGAAAGGATTTCCGATCTCCTTCGAAAGACAAGGGTTTTTCGACCTCCTTCGAAAGACAAGGTTTATCTCCTCTTTTCGAGGGAGAAATTTCTTAGTTTTGAGTCCATGGTATCAGATCTAATGGATTGTCGTGAAATTATTTCGTTGGTGAAAAGTTATCAAGTTTTCGAATACGAATAGATGAATCAGAAGGAAAACATCCTCACGGCTACAAAGGATCGTTAGATTGTCTCTCCAACAAGACTGTAATTTTCAGCGATATAAGCGGGAGATACTCCGCAGTGCAAGATCTACTTGACGATCGTAGTTTTTATGAAGGAAAATTCTATTTAATTCAATATCTTATGTATTTGTTAACGTCGAATCTTTATTGTAGATGTCGTATGTCTTTTAATTAATGAAATATTTTTGCTATTAAAATAATAATAATAATAATAATAATAATAATAATAATAATAATAATAATAATAGTAGTTTCAATAAACTTTGGTTAAGTTGGCCCATCTATTAAATATTAATAAAACAAAACTTTGCTAATATCATCACTGTCCATATGTCACTCTCATAATAAAAATTTTCCCGCCTAAATGCATGATGATGTCATCTTCTTCTTCGTCTTTTTTTTTTTTTTTTTTTTTTTTTTTTTTTTTTAACTACTTCCTCCGTTTTTTTAATATTGCACCACTTATTTTTAAGGAAGTTTCACATTTATTGCACCATATTTTTTTTAACTACTTCCTCCGTTTTTTTAATATTGCATCACTTATTTTTAAGGAAGTTTCACATTTATTGCACCATATTTTTTTTAACTACTTCCTCCGTTTTTTTAATATTGCATCACTTATTTTTAAGGAAGTTTCACATTTATTGCACCATATCCATTTTAGGAAAAGAAATTTATGTGTTCACACTATAAATACCTAATATACCCTTGCTTTTCAACCCTTACTTTTATTTTGTGCATACAATCACATGGGCAACTTGGTATTTCTATCTTTCTCTCTCATCTTTTTTTCCACTACCTAAAAATTTGTGTCAAACCCTTATGGTGCAATAATAAAAGAGCGGAGGAAGTATTATATTTAATAGATTTTGAAATTTGAATAATAGAAGCTTCTATATTACAAATACAACCTATCAATTTATCCTTAAAAAAATGAAATAACTTTAAGTTGTACACTAATAAATAGACTCCTACATTAAAATATGTATTAGGCAAAGTTGAATAGGTGCATAAATAGACTCCTATCATAATTTTGATTAAAAATCTAAAATTTTCAAAATACATATATATTGTACAAGGTGCATATTCTTATTTATATTTATCCATTTTTTTTTAAAAAAATTACAAATTATAAAAATAAATTTTATACAAACGTGTATCGCACGGGTTCTAACCTAGTTAGATGAAATATAACAATGTTTTCATAGACTGTTTTATATATGTGGTGGTGGGCTGGGCATGGTGGTAAAGCTAAGGTATGTTGGCTTTGGAAAGCTTAGGTGGATCTAGTGAGAAAATTGGTAGGTTCATGCTTACTCCCTACTAAACTACTAGTAGTTGACACTCATGACTGATGCACTTATAAAAAAACGACAGATTTAGAGAATGGATGTTCTTTAAAAAAAATGGAGGGATTATATAAATATCTTGTTTGCTTAGTTTGTTACATTTGACTTTTGCATAATTATCACATTTCAATTTGATCATAACTTTATACTAAATTATGAAAACAAATGGTAGTTTATATAGTTTTTTTTTTTTTTTTTTTTTTTTTTTTTTTTTTTTTTTTTTTTTTTTTTTTTTAAGTTCTAAAGGACACTACATTTCATCAATTAAAGCCATACGACATCTACAATTGACAATTAAAGCCATACAATATTTACAATTGACAATTATCGATGATGAAAATGAATTTAACAAAATCAAACAAGAATTAATCGGGGAAAATAAGAATCCAAATGCATAAATATAACAATTCGGCGCGTTCTCGATTCGTTGTCTCATACAACTTTTTGAGTGGATCCGTCATCGTTTCACAATTTTGTGAGGAAGTAAACTCTTGTGCTGATTTCGTAACCCGAATCTGAGCCATAATCAATCGTAGCCCTGCACAACTTGTGACCATATTAAACACAAATAAAACCTTGTCTTTCAAAGGAGTTCGAAACACCTTGCCTTTCGAAGGAGATAAAAAAATCCTTATTTTATGTATTTCAGTAGTTTTTAACTTATTTTCTTAATTTATTTAAATTCTCTTATTTTCTATATTTATATTTTAAGTTTTTAGTTCTTGTTATATAATAGTAAAACAAAATATGATGGGTGACATTTATGTCACTCTTAGGAAGTAGTTGATGAGTGACATTTATGTCACGCTTAGGGTAGTGTTTATGCTTTATTTTAGCTTGTCTTGAGGTGTTTTGTAGTTGTTTTCTTCAAATAATGTGTTCATACATGTCTCGATGTGTTTTGGATGAAATCGCGTATATGCTTCCCTTTATTACTTGTTTTCACCGTTGCCTATACCTTATTGTTTCCCTTGATGCTTGTGCTTAGGTATTTGAAGTCTTGGATTGAAAAGAAGAGGACAAGTAAGCACGAGAGTAGAATCGAAGAAGCAAGGTGCAAGGGAGCGCAAAATGTGCGCAAGAGCGCGGCCATAGTGCGCGGTCGCGCAGCCCTGTCAGAACCCGCGCAGAAGGATGTAAATTTCAGAATCGAGGCAGAGAGATTTGCGCGGGTTGTGCGCGACTTGTGCGCGGGCGCACACTCCCTTGCGCGGGCGCACACCTAAGGCGCGCGGGCGCACAACTAAGCCAGCAAGCCCCACCCACGAAGGCGCGGGCGCGCAACCTCCTCGCGCGGGAGCACACTCTCTTGCGCGGGCGCACAGATACTTTGCGCAGGCGCACAGCTACCGTGCGCGGGCGCACAGCTACCTTGCGCTGGCGCACAGCGATCCCTGTTCAGCGTTTTTGCGCGTATCTATTTATATTCGAGGCTTTTTTTTGTACGGGACTTCTGGATATTATTAAATCTTTTTCTTAATTAGTTGAGGAGAGCTTCTCTCTCTTAGGGTGAGATTAGATAATTTTAGAGAGAGAAAGTAGATTATTGCTCAATTTTTTTCATTGTATTCAACTTTGCTCAAGTTTAATCTTTAATCAAGCAAGACTTCAAGTTTTCATCTTTCATTAGCTTATTTTCTTAATATAACACCTTAGAAATTCCTTTCTTTTAAAATACCTGTTTAACCCTGTTTAAAAATTTAAATAGGAAGATCTAAGATATTACCGCCACCGTGAAAACGGCTAAGGCAACCATCAAAGACACACAGCGGAATACTAATTTCAAAACCATTCAAAACAAGTCAACTTGAAAAGCCAACCAACAAAAGTAAAGTCAAAACCAAAGTCAAACGAAGTAAAATAAAACCATCCTACAACTTGGAACCATTGTAGGCCCTTATTAAAACCAAACCAACTTTAAAACTTTTGCGTTAGTCATGCATGATAATAATATCATAAATAATTAAAGCATTAAACACATCATATACTTATAGAAACTAGCATGATTCGCTCTTCACTCATGCCCATTCATGAATATGCTTCATCACCTGAAAACCTCCTCTCTACTTGTCCCCACTACTCGCCATTAGAAAATGGGTCGTCGTAGGGCCAAAGTAAAGACATGGCCAAACACACAAACACACACAATCAGCAAAGCTTAGTACATAAGCGTAATTAAACACACTAACATGCTTTCACCTATTAACACACACTTACCTCATTGCACCTGTTTACAAGCACACACAACAATCAACAAGACACATTAACTAGACACTAAATAATTCATTTAGCGTTGATTATGCATTGAACGGGTTTCCAACTATACATCCCCCAAATAAATTGAGGTTAACTGACACGGGAGGTAACTGTGCCAGCGACAAAACCACTCAAAGGTGGCGGAATTCCTGCGCAAAATAATAAATAAAAAGGAATGTACAGCGTCCTGTACTCCATTAGAAGTTATGGTTAAGTATAAAACCCCATAACTCCCCCCCATTGTTCTTACTCAAGGTATATACGTTCCAAGAGTTTTGGTGCGTAATCTCTTTCACTTTACATTATTTACATGTTATTAGACTTGGTGATGACTCTCAAAGCATAATAAATTAATCAACCATAATTATTCAATCAACCAAACATACCAATTTAATTCTTGAATAATTAGTGACCACATATTATTTAATGTTGAACCCTTTTTAATTCTACCTCAGTGTCAAAGACACCTTAAACGCATAAAGCGCCAAAATCCTATCCCTCGGTGTTAAAAACACCTTAAGTGCACAAAGGCACCAACATACAATTTATCCCTTGTGTAAATAGACACTTATATAGCTCCTTCCTCTGCTTAAAGCATCAATAAAAATTATTTTAACCATAATAAAATTCGTTTTCAATATTCCAAACATAATTAAACATGTAGTTTAATTAATCATGCATTCTAACATACCATAAATAAAAGTGTGGTTCAAACACAACATGCCCAAAATATAATTTTCCAATACATAAACCATCACAAATAATTCATGCTTCACAATTCAATCACCAACACCATTAATTCACAATTCGATACATAAACCTTAGCATGATACTACTTGTAATTGATTGAAATCAAGCCTAGCATGATTCTACATCATCAAAATATGCTAAGTACGGGAACGTACCTCAAATAAGCTCTTAAAATAACCGAGTACTCTACAACAATTCTCGAACCAAGTCTCCTACATAAAGGGACAATAATACTATATTAATTACCCTTGTATACACAATTTTCAGCAACTTAAACTCACTTTAAATAACTTATAATAATCTAAAAATTATTTAAAAACCCCTAATTAACTCCTTTTTAATGGATAATCACACCCTTTTATTAAAAATCACAATTATACTACTTTAAATAA